AACCCTTCTACTCCTAGGTATTTACCCAAGAGAAATGAAAGAATATGTTCCTACAAATGAATGTTCACAGCACTTTCATTAGTAATAGAAACTAGAAACAACTCAAATGTCCATCAACAGAGAAATAGGGTATCTCCATAAAATGAAACACTACCTAGCAACAGAAAGTAGTGAGCTATTGCTCTACACAATAACACCGATGAATCACAAAATAATTACATGCTGAGTGAAAGAAGCCAGACAAAAACTGAGTACATATTATATGATTCTACTTACATTCATTTTAGAAAAAACAAGCTAACCTACAGTGATAGAAATAAGACCAGTGGTGGCCAAGGGACAGGATGGGGAGATTGCAAAGGGGCATGTGGATACTTTTTGGGGTGAGAGATATGTTCATGATCTTAATTTTGGTGTTGGTTTCACAAGCGTACACATATATCAAAACCGACCAGATTGCACACTTCAAATGTGTGCGGTGGACTGTCAACTCTACCTCAACGGTTAATTTAAAAAAAAAAAAAAAAAATCAGAAGTGGGAAAAGAGGGAGAAAAAAGAGGGTGAGTTTCCAGAGACAGAACAGGCTCAACTTGGAGGACCACAGACACTGAGGACAGAAAACCTCACAGAAAGACGTCTGAGAAAAAGAGGTGGAATAATAGTCCATTTAGGAAGAGGAGTACCTTGAGACAATGGGCACTGTCACCCCACCTGGCCATGCGGAGGGGAGCCCTTGAGTAGGTAGAAGAGTGATCTGGAGACAAAAGTAAGATCCAGGAGAAGCAGAAGAAAAGAAAGTGGACTGCTTGGGTCTATGCTGCGAAGAGGGAAACCGGGGTTTCCCTCCAATTGCCCAAGCCAGTTTACCAGTCATAGTAGGCAGGGAAATGAGAATTCAGGGTTGAATACAAATATCGGGGAGCAGGTCTCCCTTAAACTTGCCACAGCTGGTTCTAGATCTGACGTCAAAAGCACCAATCCCCAGTATCTTTCTTTACTCCTTAACTGTGTGGGGCCCTTGATGCTGATGCAGGCCCAGGGCAGGACTGTGAGAAACAGGTGGATACCAGAGGCCCAGGGGCTGGCCAACTGGAGGGGGCGCTTCTGGGAGCAGTTCTAGTTGTTGGGTGAAGGGCTCCTCCTCCCCATGTGTGTGTGTCAGGCATTTGTGCCAAGCAGGAGGGAGCTACTGGGGATAAGGCAGTGGAAAAAAGAGACCTTGCAGCCCTCAAGGCTCTGACATCAAGATGGCGGGGGGGGGGGTTGCTCCAGCAAGGAGGTTGGGCCACCTGAGGGCAGGCAAATTTGTCTAGCAGGATAGCAGGATGGAAGGTCACCACAGTGTTTCCTTCAGGAATTCCTCTGGCACCTCAGAGCCCTGACCCCAAAGACAGTTCCCGGCACCATCCAAGCCCCATCCTCTTCAGCTGACACTAAGGGAGAAATTAGCTGCTTAAACCCTTTCACCAAAAAAAAGGTAAGCTCTAGGGTTTAAATCCCACCTAAATGTTGTATGTTTTTTAATTTGCCTCTAAATTTTCCCTAGATTAGGAATGGCTGATGGTCAACACAATTTTGAGATCTCATCCTTCCTTTTGAGATCTTGCTGCAGCCATTATTCCATTAAAACAAACCAAAACTAAACCAGGCCTGTGAGAAGAGACTCCAAAATAATGGGATTTTGATTATTTCCTAATTTACTTAGTTCCTTAATATTTACCAGGAAGCATAAGAGGGGACTTGTCATTAGGAAATCTAGGGAGGGGGAAGCCTCTTTCCTTCCCTTTTACTTCAAATTGATTTTAGCCTTAAAATAAGAAAAAAACCTTAGTCTGGTATAAGAAGAAAGCTTTCCCTATGTTACTTAGTGGGCTCTTAGGCAAATCACTTAACTTCAATGGGCCTCAATTTTCTCACCTGTTAGATGAGGGGGTTAGCTTAAGTCTGGGGCAACTGGGCCTAATAAACCATTCATTCATTCATTCATTCATTCATTCAGTATTTGAGAACCTACTGCATCCCAGGCACTAGGTTACAGCAATTAAAAGAGAGGCAACACTACAACTTGATTCTAGAGAAACGAAAAATGGAAGGGGAACCAAACAAGATAATGTCAGGTAGCGGTAAGCACTAAGAAAATACACCAGGGTGCCTTACTTTACTTTGGGGAAGGTGGTCAGGGCTGTGAGAGGTGAGTAGTCTGGAATGATGGAAAGGAATCAGCCACTTGATTCCCAATAGAGGCAACCCTACTGGGGGTTTTCCTTCAGGTGGGCAAAGCTTATTTGGTTCTCTTCATAGGTAAAGGAGACTATACCCCTCTTTTTCATTTTATATCCTTCCTCCCAGTACTCTGTATTAATTCCATTTATATACACTTTTATTTTTACTTTTTTTTTAAGATTATGTATTTATTTGACAGAGAGAGAAAGAGAGAGAGGGCACACAGAGGGAGCTGAGTGGCAGAGGGAGAGGGAGAAGCGGACTCCCCGCTGAGCAGGGAGCCCGATGCGGGGCTCCATCCCAGGACCCTGGGATCATGACCTGAGCCTGAGCCGAAGGCAGACTCTTAACCGACTGAGCCACTCAGGTGCCCCATGTACACAACTTTTTAAAGAGGAGCAAAGTATTGGACTTGAACAACTTCCTCTAGGTAGGATTTCTCTTCTACAGGACTCCTTTGTTATTCTCAAGTTTCTGTCCTCATAGTTATAAATTCTCCCACTTATTCTGGGCAGGAGTAAACAGGATTTAAATCAGTGTTTTTCAAATTTCATGATAACAACCCACAGTGAGAAATAAGTTTTACATCATGACCCAGTGTATAAAACCAAAAGTTTTTAAAATCAAGCTTACTGTAACTACCCGCAATGGACGGTAGTATATTCTATTTTATTTCATTTCTTTTTTAAATGCTAAGATGATTTCATCAGTAACTTACAGTATGAAAAACACTATTCTAAACCGACACTGGCTAGTAATTTTGTTAATAGCAATCCAAAAAATGGTAAAATTGATTAAACAACCTCAAAGGCTCTCCCCTCCCCTTTTTCTGTACACATACTTGCTTTAAAGAAATGGGTTCCAAATTTCTCTGTGTAACTTGTGGAGGAAATTCCCAGAGGGGACATTTTCAGAGGGACTGGGGTGGAGGGTGGGGAGCCGAAATATGCAAATTGTTCAATAGGTGAGGCGACACCTTTAGTTTCAAAGATTGCCCAAGAAGGAAAGACTCATAAAGTCTTCACAATAAGAACGAGGCTGTGGGTGTGTGTGTGTTGGGGGAAGGGATGCTGTTAAGTAATTTATTAAATTTTAAGTTCCTAGAAGGGAGTCAGTCTGCACCCTTACCTTTCCTCACCAAAATTCCAGTCTCACATGGACAGATACGTAACTGCAACACTGAGAATCAGACCTTGCATTTAGCACATAACACACAGGTGCTCAGTAACATTTTGTTTCATAACTTTTAAATAATGGAGCTCACTGTCATCATCAAATCCTAACTTTATGTGTACAGCAATCATTATGTTCTCCTGGAATGTAAAAATGTCATGCAGTAGTAAATGAAATGTGTTTATCTTCAAGTCATTGTTTAAGTCCAGGGAGCTTAATCGGGTATTTTTCTCAAGCTCTAAGTGGGAAAGGGATGTTTTCCATTGCAAGGTAAAAGAGAGAGGAGTAGCTGTAATGGAAAGAGTCCACATCTGCTAGTGGCCATGGTAAACAGCTGGGATTAAAATGAGTGTGTTAATTTAATAGGTAGTCTCTCAAGGGACACTAACCAGTGGGCTCAGTCAGCCAAGAGCTCTGTCTGATAGAAACCGTGCCAATTTCCCCGTGAGTCGCAGTTAGTGTCCTCACCCCTGAAGTCAGAAGTGCATGCACCCAATTTCCAGTAGCCCCAGGGCCCTGGAGCCGAAAAATTACACCTGCAAGCAAGCATTCTCCCGCACTGCCGTACCCAGGCTACACACAGAAAGCAGCGCAGTGAAGCTGGGGGCCCTTCAGCCCCATTTAGGGGCATCATTAACGATTTCAAATTACAACTGTTGCTTTATCTCACAACAGTGATAAACAGCGGAGCTACATTCATGATGTTTTTCTTTTAAGTCATTTATTTGCTCTCCTCTCAGGGGCAAGAAAGATGAGACAAGTGCAAACCTGCCAGAGCTTCTTATTATAGATGGAGCCCTCCTCCTCTCCCTCTCTCGGTTCCACTTCAGCATCCCTCCCTCTCTGGATTTCCTGAACTGAGGCAGTAGCCTCCGGTAAGGAACTGCAAGTGGCTCCTTTTCAAAACTAGGAGGGATTCACCAGAGAGGCTGAGGCGACAGAGGCAACAACCACTCCCTCACCCTAGCAGGTCAATTCACCCCATTCCCCAGGTCAACAATAGGTCAGATTTCAGAAAGGAACGAAGTCTTAGAGGAGGGCGGCCACCCATTCAAATTCAAATTAAGAGGAGCATCCTCTTAAACGCGAGATGTGACAAACCCTGCTGCCATACCGGAGGTGTGGGCAGGCGACTGTGAGCGTGGGCACGGGGACAGCCTATATATAGGCGAGACATCACTAGTAACGAAGGGAGACCCACCACGGTCGACAAAGCCACAACTATTACGACTTGAAATACCACCCGCAGGGCACTGGCCTCGGTGCCAAGATCTCCCCGGATTTATTTTCAGGCAAGTGACTCACAACCTCGTCTCCATAAGTAATTCCATTAAAATGAGTCGCCGGTTCCACTAACCCGACTTTCCGCTGCCCTCTGGCTGCCACTCCCTCCTCTCCGCCCATCAGGCAAACCCAGACAGCTCCCAGACTGAGCAACCGTACCCCAGGGGAGCAGAAGGCAGGCTCTTAGGCCCGGCCCCCTCCCTCGGGGAGGGATGAATGGGGCCGGAGGCGGGTGGGAGCGCCAGGAGGGTGCGTGCGGGCGGTGCGCGGGGTGTGTACGCGTGTGTGCGCGCGTGGGCACGCACCCCGGCCAACTTACGGAGGTGGAGTTGGTCCTCGCTTGGCCCTGGTTCCGCACCTCCTGCTCCCGGAACTGCAGTCCAGCCAGATGCTTCTCCAGTGCCTCCCAGTCCATAGGGGGCACCGGGGGCTCCTCCGGGACGCACGTCCCACTGTCGGTGGGCTGAAGGCAGAGGACCCCAGCCGCCGGGCCCCGGCCGCCGCGTCGGCCCCGCGCCGGCTGGGGCTTCTGGACCGCCCGGCGGGGGCCCCGAGAACCGCTGGGCCGGCCGGCCACCACCACCACGTTGCCATTGTGCCTGAGGTCCTGGGGGTCGTGCGGGTGGAGGTTGCCGTTGGGCACAGGAGGCGGCATGACAGTGGTGGCGCCCTTGCTCCTGCCGCCGCCGCCGCGGGTCCTGGCGCTCACGTCCCCCGGCTCCCGGGCCGGACAGCGGTCATCCCGGTACCCCCGCTCGTCGCGCTCGTCTTCCTCTTCCTCCTCCTCCCCGTCCTCCTCCGGCGCCCACTCATCAATCACCTTCTTTTGGTAGACCGGGAAGGGCTCCTCATAGTCCTCCAGGGCAGACACCAAGTCCAGGCTGCCCCCCGGCGACGACGAGGATTTGCACTCGGAGCAAGGGGTCACTTTGGTGGAGTTGGACTGCGAACTGGCGCGGCTGCTGCTGCTGCTGCTGCTGCCGGCGTCACTGCCTAGATCCATCCCATCCTCTCGGTAATCCTGGGGGGAGGAGGCAGAGAGTGAGCTGCCGGGCCGAGCCTGCTCCGGCCGCCCGCCGCCCGCCGCGAGCACCCCGGCCCAGTGCCCCGAGCCTGCCTGGCCTGAGGTGCTCCCCCCAAGGAGGCTTGGGAACCGAAGCCGGCACCAGCCTGAGGCTTCCCTTAGCCCACCCGTCTCACCATACTCCTCCCAGTAACTAACCCTCAAATTAGCAAAGGGGGTGCCCAGCCATCAGCGCGGACACTTTCCATAAGAGGGGCCCCGGGGCGCGCATGGACTTTGTTGTAACCATTTTGCGCCGGGCGCGCCCCTGCACCCCGCCCCAAAGATTCTCCGAGCACCACTTTCCCAGAGAATTATAATTCCCTGGGGGCGGGACCAAGAAGAGGGTGGGCGCTACTGAATTCGCACACCGTTCCGGGCGCCGAGACCACCCCCCGCCCCGGCCCCGCCTCGCCCCGCCCCCGCCGGCGGCGGGGAGCCGGGCTCTGCTCGCCAGCTGAGCTTTACTTTCTAAGGAACCGCAGGCTGCTCGGAGGTCTCACTCCCGCCTCCGCGCCTCCCTGACCCACCCCTCCTCGGCTCGCCGGAAGCCTCGGGGTGGGGGGGGGGCGCTCTCAGCTTGCGCCGGAGAGGGTGGCTCTCGCCGCCCCCAAAGGTGTGCGGGGCCGGGGCGCGGCGGCAGTAGCTGCAGGCGCCGCCGCCGCCGCCCTGGGGGAGGGAGGACGCGCCCTCCCGGCGGCGGAGCCGGTCCCGCCACCGAGCATGCCCAGAGGCTGCCGGGCGCGGCGTAGTCCGCTCTCCCGGTTTTCGCGGCAGCAGGCTGGGGCGGGAGGCCAGGCGGGGATGGGGTTGGAAAGGTCGGGAAAAGGCCGAGGGAAGGGGGCACTGGGCGTTAGGCATGCAGACCCGGCCAATTAACAGGGGCGGCACCCTGGGGAGGGTGGTGGATTTTAACCCCCAGACGCACTAATATTTTCTGGGCGCGTCTCAAGCCCTCTTTTCGGGGCTCCTTATCCTGCGTAAGCCTCCTGGTACCCCAAAGCGCGGGCGCGGCGCATCCTAGCCCACGCGGAAGTCCCCGAGTGATCGGGTGAAGGACCTCGCCCCCCCCCCCCACGCGCGCACAGACACTAGCCCATGTGGGAGCCCGAAGTGACGTGTGCTCAGTGGTTATGCACCATCATTTCCCTTCCACCTTCCTCGGCCACTTCCTCTCCCTCCACCGCCCAGCTCCAGTCACTTTGCTGGCTCCCCTTACAAGTTCAGGCTGTGGGCGGAACCTGTTGCTTTAGCTCACGCTTACTTCCCCCTCCCGGCCGCACGCTGAGGATGACCTCAGAGAGGTGTGTGTATGGGGAATGGAGGGGTTAAGTGTAAGATGGGACTGATACCTGGAATTTTGGAGGAGAATCTGTTCTAAAGGTTCAGGCGAACCTCTGAAGTCCCCTTTGGCCACCTCCAATCAAGGAGACGTTAAAGGAGGGGAAGACATGGATATCAGGTGACCTGCCCCGGGCACGTGCACTGGCTCTGCGCCCTCAAATTTTTCTGGAAACCGAGTCAAAGAAACATATGCTGGCTTTTTCAGAATACACACTGGTTCCCTGAGTTTGGTAGCTCATCTAATTAGGAACAAGGTTCCGTAAAGTGAAAGATACCAACATTTGAAAAGCGTAGATGGGTCATAGAACACCTTTTCAGGATTAAGAATTTCCTGTGAACCAACCAGTTCTGACTCGTAAGAACTGGGAAACTAAGAAATGCCCTCTTCTCTGGTGCTTATGAAAAACACTTAGAACTTAAATGTTCTCACAGGCACAAAACTGTGAGGTGATGGATGTGTTAACTAGATGGGGGGGGGGATCCTTTCACACTGTATGCTTGTATCAAATAACTACGGCACACACTTTAAATATTTACAATTTTATATGTCAATTATACCTCAATAAAGCTGAAAATTTTCGAAAAAGAAAAAGAAAAAAACCCCAGCACTTAATTTTACAAAAGATTGGGGAGAACCAGTTTCCTTGAACTTCCAGATTTGGGCTGTTACTAATTATTCCCAGTGAATTCAAGCCTGGACCAGGCCACTACCCTGGCGTTGCACCCTCCAGATGGAGGAACAGGGGAATGCTTGGAATTCTTTAGTAGGGAGTGGCTGCCACCCTGACATTTCTTCTAGGTCCTAATTGGGACTGGGTGCAGAAACCCTTTGTTTAAGTAACTTCAGGGAAGTGTGACTCTTTCCTGTCCTAGGGCCTGAGCCAGGGAAGATAAACTAATCTTTTAACTTGTCTGGAAGCAGCAATCTTATGAATACAGGAAAAGGGGCCTCTGGTCTGGCCCCTTTACAGCTCTTCTGTAAAATAGGACTGATTATAATTTAAAATGTCTTTTATGGTAACATCTGTAAATGGTGTGCCTTGTGCTCCAAATATGGTTCGATTTTGAGGTTGCTGTGAAGCACTGGGTCAGTTGGCTGCCCCCCTGTGGGATGGAGGTGACTCTGAGAGTGTTCAGAGATGTGGGTAGGAAACATTGCGTGCTGGGAATTAGATAGCTACTTTTCAAATCACCATGTGATTTGGCAAGGTTTAGGTCAGAAAGAGCTCCCTGCTCTGTGGCAGGACACAGATAGACAAGTATTGATCAACTGGGTGATGAAGAAGAGCTGTGGTCTCAGTCCCAATTTTTAAACATTAGGACCTCCTTAGCCACCCACCCAGATTCCCTCTTGGGCTCCGACTCATCCCCCTGCTGCCCAGATGGTCTGTGTTCAGGGAATGCAAAATAAGGCCTTAGAAAAACATTTGGCAAGGTAAATCCATTGCCAAAACTGCATGGCATTTCAAAGCCAAATAGAAACCTCTTTGAATTATCTGTCTTTTTAAATTATTTTTCTTACCAGATATTCTGGATCAGATGGGAAAGTACCAGGTTTCCTTTTTTCTTTTCTCTTCATGCAAGGTGCCTGGCTAGCCCAGTTTCCATTCTGTTTCCAGCTTTCCATCTCCTGCCAAGAACTGTCCCATTTTGGAACAGGAAGCCCTGCCAATTCTTAGGCCGGCAACAGTCTACAGATATGTCCAGCAGGATGGAGAGATGATTTGGAAAGTGATTGAAAGGTCCTGTCTTCCTGTTTATAGGACCGTTTCGTCAGGTGAGAAGCTTGGGGCTTACAGACTTAGATTTGTCCCCTGTAGTCTTTGTACATTAGACATCAGAGATGTGAGTCAAGTGGGTGTCATCACAGACCAGCACCTTCTGCCATCAATCACCAGTCCCTCTTGAATACCCACTGCTCCCACCCTAGTCTACACTACTCTGTCCTGAAATGACTGAACAGTCTTCCTACTACCTATGCGCATTGTCTGCATGCCGACAGAGTGCCTTTCTGAAATGCAAATCCGAGCAAGTCTCTCCGGGCTTTCTCAAAACCCCCTAGCTCCTCATTGCTCTTAAAGGAACTGCTTCCTGCCCAACCTCCCCCCACCTTCTTCTGGCAAATTTCTAGTTATCCTTTCAGTCTAGGCTTAAATGTCCTTCCTCCTGGAAGGCTTCCTGATTCTCTATGCCCCACAAAAGGGATCGGGTATCTTTCCCATGCTCCTGAGATACTCACTGCACTTATCACACACACTGAGGTTGCTGTTAATTGCTTATCTTCTCTACTAGACTCAAGAAAACTATTTTATGTCAAGACCCAGGCCACACATACATATAAAAATACTTAAAAGTTTCATAAAACCCTTATTTTGGGTTTTAAAATCCTATCCTAATTCATTAAAAACAAATTCTGCCCACACGTCACATTGACGTTTTATCCCTTGAATGGATCAGGGCTCCTACCGTGAACAAATAGTCTAAATTCCGTGAAGGGAGGAGCTATTTCTATTTTGTTCACGGTAACTGGGATGGAATAGAAGCTTCATCGGTTTTTGTTGCTGGAATTATTAATAATAACATTGAATTCATTTAATTCTCCAAAACTCTTACGAAGAAACTAGTATCTCCATTTATAGGTATGGATGCTGAAGATAGTGAGGTTAAGTAAGTTGCCTAATGTCAAAAAAGCAGGAAAGCTGGACGGCATAGCCAGGATTTGGACCCAGGTAGCTTGGCTTCAGAATCTTGGCTCTTCGTCACTCAGAGAAAGCCTCCGTGCTCTTTGGCCTGCATGCATATGGATAAATTTACCAAGCAAAACGCCAGAAAGCGTCTCCTTCCAGCAACTTCGAAGGAATCCTCAGTCTCCTCCCTGCAGAGGCTCCTTGGGCAGTATTTATGTCTGTGCAGAGAAGAAGGAAGCTGGCAAGAGCCGCTGTTCTCCTCTGCTCACATGCGCCCCACCTTCTCAACTGTCAACAAGTTCGGCACTGATATTCAGCAAGTTGGGAGCCTTAACTGTAAAGTCAGAGTATAGACACCTCAGGAAAGGAAATTCCACATCATTATGAGCTACATGCTTCAAGTTCCCCCCCAAAACAAATCCTTCCAGAAGGTAGCCATCATGAGATTGGGATTTTCAGTTTTGTCATGAACAGAAAACTGGAATAATACTCAAAGGGTAGGGATGAGAGCATGTTTCTCAGAGGCCAGTGCTATTTATAGGATTTTAATCTGTCAGGGCGACATGTGAGAAAAGACATGATTGAAATATTTAAATCATAAGGAGCTGGGAAAAAGGTTTATTTGCAGAATTCCCAGACTAATTCAGAAATGATTGCCCCTCACGTTGAACCTTCTCTCAGTTGTGGCATTTAGAGTAATAAAGAAATAGCTGGCAAAGAGGTTCCTATTTCATCTTTATTACATGAATTACATGCAAGTCACATGCAGTACACAGATGCTCTCCCATTTCACCACCTGAATTTAACTACATGGGAATGTTTAACAGCACCATGGGGCCAAGTGTCCTGGATATAGAACATCTGGGCTTAGTTTCCAGCCTGGTCTCTAACCAACTTTGTGACCTCAGTTTCCTTATGACGGGGCTA